GGTCCACATTGAGGTCCAAAGGGTCCAAAATTAAACTTTGTTTGATTTCATCAAAAATTAAATTATTGGGGTTCTTTGATATGCCGAATCTAACCGTGTATTTAGATTCTTAATTTTTGGTTCCGTTTTCAAATTGGTCTACATTAAGGTCCAAAGGGTCCAAAATTAAACTTAGTTTGATTTTAACAAAAATTGAATTCCAGGGGTTCTTTGATATGCCGAATCTAAACATGTATTTAGATTTTTGATAATGGGCCCAGTTTTCAAGTTGGTCCAAATCGGGGTCCAAAATTAAACTTTGTTTGATTTCAACAAAAATTGAATATATGGGGTTCTTTGATATGCTGAATCTAACCATGTATTTAGATTTTTGATTTTTGGGCCCCGTTATCAACTTTGTCCACATTGAGGTCAAAAGGGTCCAATATTAAACTTTGTTTGATTTCATCAAAAATTGAATTCTTGGGGTTCTTTGATATGCTGAATCTAACCATGTATTTAGATTTTGGATATTGGACCATAATAGGTGAATGTCCAATTTAAAATTTTTAAGTTCTTAGACCACATTCATTCTGTGTCAGAAACCTATGCTGTGTCAAATATTTAATCACAATCCAAATGCAAAGCTGTATCAAGCTTGAATGTTGTGTCCATACTTGCCCCAACTGTTCAGGGTTCGACCTCTGCGGTCGTATCAAGCTGCGCCCTGCGGAGCATTTTATTCTAGTTTCATAACAATAACTTGTGTGTAAGTGTATGGATCTTTATGAAATTGTACTACAAGGTTCCATATCACAAAGGGAAAGCTGGAATTGAGTTTAGGGGTAATTGTCCAAAACATTTAAGAAAAAAGGGCCAAAAAGGGGCCAAAAATAAGCATTTGTCTAGTTTCCAGACAATAACTTGTGTTCAAGTGTATGGATCTCTCTGAAATTGTACTGCAAGGTACCATACCACAAAGGGAAGGCTGGGATTGAGTTTGGGGGTGATGAATCATAAGGGGGTTCAAAAAATTTCGGGGGGGGGATTTTTTTTTCCTTTTTTTTTCTTTAAAATTTTCCATTTTAAATTGGTTATTTCTGATTTATATATAAAAGCAAATAATAATGATATGGTTTGAATAGGCAAATTAAAAATTTTTAAGTTCTTAGACCACATTCATTCTGTGTCAGAAACCTATGCTGTGTCAAATATTTAATTACAATCCAAATTCAGTGCTGTATCAAGCTTGAATGTTGTGTCCATACTTGCCCCAACTGTTCAGGGTTCGACCTCTGCGGTCATATCAAGCTGCGTCCCAGTGGAGCATTTTATTTTTCTTTAAAATTTTCCATTTTAAATTGGTCATTTCTGATTTATATATAAAAGCAAATAATAATGATATGGTTTGAATAGGTAAATTAAAAATTTTTAAGTTCTTAGACCACTTTCATTCTGTGTGAGAAACCTATGCTGTGTCAAATATTTAATTACAATCCAAATTCAGTGCTGTATCAAGCTTGAATGTTGTGTCCATACTTGCCCCAACTGTTCAGGGTTCCACCTCTGTGGTCATATCAAGCTGCGCCCCAGCAGAGCATTTTATTATAGCTTGCAATGCTGTATGGATTTTGCTCATTGTTATAGGACGTATAGTGACCTCTAATTACTTATATCTATGTCATTTTGTCTCTGGTGGATAGTTGTCTCATTGGCGATCATACCACATCTTTTATTTTTGTGTGGTAATCATAGAGGTTCTAATAGGAATGGACAGATTTATTATGATTATAGGGAGATCCTGCTAATCTTTGAATATCTGATAATATAAACATGAGGAGTTTTGGTATGATTGCCAAGGAGACAACTATCCACCAGAGTTAAAATGAAGTGGTAGTACGCAATTATAGGTGACTGTACTGCCTTCAACAATCAGAAAAAGCTATATTGTATAGTGGGCTATAAAAGGCCCTGACATGAAAAATGTGAAACAATTCAAATGAGAAAACCAACAGCCCAATTCATAACAAAAAAAACTATGAAAACAAATATGACAGACATGAACCAAGGACAATCACTGTACAGATTTATATATGTTTATAGGGAGAACCTGGTAATCCAGGAACTTCTGGATTTCCTGGACCTGTAGGACCTCCTGGTTTCCCTGGATCCAAAGGAGGAAAGGGAGAACCTGCTAGAAATGGTGTTGGTATCAAGGGAACTAAGGTGAGTTTTAAGAATGTTAAAACATTATTAATTCAAATAAATTATTTTGATTTTGTAAAAGTTTTATTAAGTTCAAAAGATTTTTAGAACCTATGGCATCATTAAGAATCTATGAAGCCATGGTACAAGCTTGCATGTTCAAAATGTATTGTTGTTCTATTGTTGTTTTTTTCAAACTCTATGTTCGTCCTGAACATGCATAAAATATTTGCCACTGGACATTAAGCAACCAACCAACAATCAATCATCAATCAAAATGTTCCGCAGCACTTCATCTGTTCTGCTTAAGATATATTTTTTATGTTGTAACTTAGATTTATTTTTTACCTTGAAATTGGTTAATTGAAGCTTCACAATTTTTTTATTTTTTATTTTTTATTTAGAAATGAAATTTTCAGGAAAATAGTTCATATCAATATTTTTCTTTAAGTACAAACAATATAGAGAATCATTATTGAATATTCTAACGGTTAAATTTAGTCTCTTATGGTTGTGGCTTGTTATCTATTACTTGCATGAAGAGATATTTGTCGTATCACACTGCATGGAGTGTGATATGAAAAAGTGATACGAAAATTAGCGTTAATTTGATTGGCTTATCCAGCATCATGAGACGATATTAAGACATTTCCATTGGCTATTCATTAGGTCATTGATGACTCTCAAAGGTTAAGACGATGCACATTTCGTCCATGGCAACGGACAAATGTGATTTCTTCAATAAAATGCAAAAAACTCACACTTTGCACCTGAAAATCTTCTTTTTGTCAAATTTTATTACATTCTGAAGCGTATAAAAATGTTTTAAAATGTCTGATGTTAAAGTTTTACACCGGAACAAGACCAGGGCTTCCAAAATTTTTTTGAGCCAGCCGGACATTTCATATCTTATCCCGATTTTTTTATCCCTTTAGACTTAGTAAATTAGGCAACTATGATAATCAGTTGGCCATCATATATGATATAACCAATGATTGACATTAAAACGATATTAAACTTTACTTTGATATAAATTCGATGTTCTGGCGTAAAGTGTTAAATTGAAAGTACAGCATTCGAAGTGTGCAACATCAGCGCATAACAAAAGTGGCAAACCTATGATATTTGACCGTTTGAGGCTGAGAGCAGCCGGACTTTTTATATAAATTTTGGTCAAGTCCGGAATATATGACCGTTTTGGAAGCCATGAGTTACAAGACATATGAAGTCATACTTGAATGTGCAAAAGACTAAATCAACTATTCTCGGAATTTTTAATATAAGACAACAAGAGTGTTGACCATAAGAGAAATAGGTTTCATAATGAGTGAGAATTGAATATCCCTTGATATCAACTTGAGTTATTTATTTTCAATTTAATGATAAACGAGCCTGTGGCGAGTTTATTATTACTATTTAGATTAAATAACAAGAGTTGATATCAAGAGATATCCAATTCTCACAAATATAGGATTTTTTATATAGGATTTTATTTACTTATTTGATACATGTATCTGTAACATTATTTTGCTTTTTTTATTAGGGAGAACCTGGTGTAGATGGATTTCCAGGACAAGTGGTCAGTATTAACTTGTTTGCTAAGTCTTTATCTATTTTATAAAATGGCAAACAAAATTTTCAGTGAAAAGGCTTTAATATCTAATTTAAAAGCTTTAATGAAAGATTTTTTCTTATCCAAATTTAGGTCTTATTTGAACAGTAACTTTTTTGTTGAGAGAACATTAAACTTTTGCTTTAAGTAAGAATGACTTTGCTATGACATTTTAAACAAAGGCGGAAACCCTGTCATACTTAAGGATGTTCGCTCCTCTCGTTTTTGAATTTTTGCCAAATATTCGGAATCTTCTGGTTTTATCCATGTAATGCCATTAAACATTTTGCCCAATAAACCCTACTTTTCTTTCCATAATTTGATTACATATAGTTTAAAATGTCATCTTTGAAAATCTTATAAAGTCCTTGTTATTTTTTCATCGTTTTTGAAAGAAAAAAGGTGCCAATGTTAAGTAGTAGTCCGCCTAAGAATCAGGCAGATACCAAATAATGTTAGGAACATGAATTTGGTCAATCTGATGCATTATTTGTATATAAACAGTTATTCTCAACCACTTTCAGCTGACATAGTTAAAAAAGTGGTATATATTATAATTTGTCTATTTTAGCATGTCAGATTGTGCCCTAATGCCTTTAATAATGTACTATAAAAGTACTGAAATATATATTTTTCATTGAAAAAATACTTGAAAAAACAAATGGGAAACCTTAATATCTTTACAAATTAAGAAAATAAAGTGTCATATTTTATTAAAACAATAATTGTTTCTGTGTGTTTTTGTCTCATTAGTACACATATTGTCCTTACAAAAAGACTGGACAATGCTAAAAATAGGTTAGAGTTATCTCCCATTACCCACAATGCAATAGATTTCAACAATGGCAGCCCCCATGGGCTCCTGCTCAATTGGATTTTTTGCCTCAACAAAGTGTGGAATATCATCACTGCACCCTTCACATACAACTTTATCAAGATTAAAGGACTGCCAGAGGAATATCCAAGCTCATTTGTTGAAAGTTGGATTGAATGCAGGTGTAACAGGAGTAGCAGACGTCACATACGAGGGGGAACTTATTTCAAAAAGAGTGGGTTTGTTCACTGTTGAGAGTGACTTCAGTGTTTGTCCATATCATAGAGATTTCCTTGGAATAAACTGGAGACAAAAGGCTTTGTGCCAATATCCAATTCATGAGGGAAAGGCCAAGCCTTATCGGAGCTTTACAACGTCCATGAGCAGGTGAATGTTAGCCGACTTTGGTGTATTTGTGCCCATTGGCTCTGGTAAGTACAATGTACTTTATTTTGTTTGTATTCCAATTCATTAATTATATTGTCAAATATATACATGTTTGTTCATAACTGATGCATTGAGTTTGTTTGGTAACAAACGTTTGAAATCTTTAAAACAGGTTCAGTATGTTGACATTTTCAAGGACACTTCTCCCTAAGTAACTGATAATATACATATATGTGTATTTTAAAACAAAGTGCACATTTTTATATTGACAAATTACCCATACATGTACCTTAACATTCTCATTTTTTTTGTATTAACATATGCCCCTACATGAACTTTATTTTTGAAATCTGCCATGTCATATGATAAAGTTGTGCATGCAGGTTCTGTAGAGGCATTTAAGACTGCCCTACAAGAACACCCATAACAATGGGGCTCTTCTCCACTTTGTATAAAAGCCATAAGCCCATAACAGGATTCTACACATACCAATACAGATACAGATACCCTCCCCCTTTTTCCACCACAAACCTGAACCCCCAAAAAATAAGTTTTACATTATATAACCACAGTTTTTTTTTTATAGGTGAGGATCAAGTATTTTGAAAGGGGGACATAGCAAGTTAATGTTTTCACTTTTGATTGATACTTGTAAAAGTTTATGCATAAACATGATGAAGTTTATCATTTACTTTCAAATTTTCAAAAGTTCAGAATGTATCACCTCCTCTAAATATCCAAAATACATCTAAATATATACTTATATAATATGAATGTTTCTTAAATCTTTAAGTTTTATATGTTTGTAAATATTGTTTATGCTTCTCTTGCAAATGTCTTGGTTTTGGGATTTTATACCAATTAAATAATTTAATCTGACTTAGACAGTACATGATTTTTTAAATAAAGTATTTATTATTATAAGCTACATAATGGAACCCCCCTCCCCCAACTTAAATGCTTCCTATCAAAATTGATTTTGTCCCCATATTTAAGCTGAATATACATGATATATAATCCATTATGACATAGACATAAATATATATTCTTTATATGAATTTTATGCATTCTTTTTTCTTTTTCTTTCAAGGAATATGCAGAAAATGTAATGGAGAATACTTGAAAGCATATACATCATGTACAGAAAAAAAGGTAACATAGTTTTATTACATATACCAATAGAAAACAAAATGTAGGTATAACTGCAAACGGTTTGGGTTTTCTTATACAGTATCTCCACTACCGGAGGGTTATGATTCTTTTTCTACACTTCATGTGAGGTGGATGATAATCATGATAATTCTGATCTATGTAAATAAATTGCTAAAGGAACCACCATTAAAATTGCATTGAATTTATCATTTATTTTTATACAACCGCAAAAAAATTTTTGGGATCGTATAATGGTATGATGTCGTCGTCCGAAGACATATTGGTTTCCGGACAATAACTTTAGTTTAAGTGAATGGATCTCTATGAAATTTTTTTAGAAGGTTGAATACCACAAAAGGAAGTTGGGATTTATTGAATCATGTGAGGGAGAATTAAAAAAAAAAAAGATGTTTTTAATGACAAAAACTCTCAATCAGAAAATTAAGTAGCTTCAGGTCTGTCATTTTATTTTTGCTACCTATACATGCTATATACAAACATGATAAACTAGGCAGTTAGTCTTCTCAATTGAATAGTTTCATAATTTTTATGTCAGGGCCTTTCATAACAGACTATATGATATGGGGTTGGTTGAAGGCCGTACAGTTGCCTCAGCCTGTAATTGTTTTTATCCAATTCATTTAAACTTTGTTTGATATTTGTCTCATTAACCAATTACATGTACCTGTATACCATATCTCATTAGTTTTTGTATGTACATGTATGTATATGAAATACAATAAAAAGATGCAGATGTATGCCGGCATATTGTTTATGACATAGTATACAATAGACATGATAGAATACCAACATCTGCACCTTGAAATTTGCAGTAAAATATAATATGCCATAATATTAAATGTTAGTAAGAATTGATTGCTTTTTTTCATATGATTTATTGTCTTCACTTTGTAAATTGTATCAATCAAAAATTAAATATAATCAATGATAAGCATTGTATTTTTTATGTAGGATATCAATGGCAATTGCATGGATATAGAGATTGATGATCCAAATGAAGACAAACCTAATGTTAATAAATTTGTAAGTATATTTTAGTGTGGCACACATACATATATCATGTATATTGTTCAGTATGATGAAGTAGTAAGCAGGTGGGTGAGGGGAAACAGGGTAGATAATTTTTACAATTAAATAAGAGCCAAATGATGTTACATGTGTATGCAGTTATAAAAGGTTGGTGAAAAATATATACAAAAGGAATATTCAAACTCATAAATTGAAAACAAACATATCATGAGGGAAAGAATTTTTTTTTTGGAAGAGGGGAGGGGGCAATTTTTTTTCTCAATTCAGATTTCAGAAATTAACAAATAAAATTTCTTCCAATATTTTTTTCTTGTTGGCAAAATAAAGGGTGAGGGGGAGGGGGTAACAAATTTATTTTTTTGGAGAGGAGGGGGGTCAATACGCAACAGCATAGTGTATTGCTTAAAAGCAAAAAAAAAGGGGGGGGGTTCAATTCGCAACAGCATAGTGTATTGCACAAAAGCAAAAAATTGAATATATAAATATAAATTCAAATCATATAACCAATTCTAAGTTCTTTGATTACAGTTAATCTGTGTCAGAAACCTATTATTGTAAAATATTTAATTACAATCCAAATTCAGACATGTATTAATATAAGCGTCGCCAGTAAAACTGCATTTGTGACAGTCAAATCGACAATTGACCGTGGCAACTCTTCAACTACAGTACTGTTATTCCTTCAGTGTGCTTATCAGTCTATATGATTGTGACCTCATTTTTTTGTTTGTTTTCCAATGCTAAGTTTTAGTTTTTATACAACCGCACAAAAATTTTGCGGTCGTATATTGGTATGGCGTCGGCGTCGTCGTCCTAAGACACATTGGTTTTCGCACTCTAACTTTAGTTTAAGTGAATGAATCTCTATGAAATTTTACCATAAGGTTAAATACCACAAAAGGAAGGTTGGGATTGATTTTGGGAGTTATGGTACCAACAGTTAAGGAATTAAGGGCCAAAAATAAGCATTTTTGTAACTTCCAGACATAACTTGTGTGTTAGTATATGGATCTCTCTGACATTGTACCACAAGGTTCCATATCACAAAGGGAATGCTGGGATTGATTTTGGGGGTAATTGCCCTAAACGTTTAGGAATTTGGGGCCAAAAAACAAACATTTTTCTAGTTTCCAGACAATAAATTGTGTTCAAGTGTATGGATCTCTCTGAAATTGTACTGCAAGGTACCATACCTCCACATTTTAGGAATTAGGGGCCAAAAAGGGGGCAACAAACAAGCATTTTTCTAGTTTTATGAAAATTACTTGTGTGTAAGTGTATGGATCTTTCTGAAATTGTACTACAAGGTTCCGTATCACAAAGTGAAAACTGGAATTGAGTTTGGGGGTAATTGCCCTAAACGTTTTGGAATTTGGGGCCAAAAAACAAGCATTTTTCTAGTTTCCAGACAATAAATTGTGTTCAAGTGTACGGATCTCTCTGAAATTGTACTGCAAGGTACCATTACCCAAAGGGAAGGTTGGGTTTGAGTTTTGGGGGGATGAATCATAAGGGGGTTCAAAAAAATTGAGGGGGGATTTTTTTTCCTTTTTTTTTCTATAAAAATTTTCCATTTTAAATTGGTTATTTCTGATTTATAAATAAAAGCAAAATAATAATGATATGGTTTGAATAGGTAAATTAAAAATGTTTAAGTTCTTAGACCACATTCATTCTGTGTCAGAAACCTATGCTGTGTCAAATATTTAATCACAATCCAAATTCAGTGCTGTATCAAGCTTGAATGTTGTGTCCATACTTGCCCCAACTGTTTAGGGTTCGACCTCTGCGGTCGTATCAAGCTGCGCCCAGCGGAGCATTTTATTTTAGTATATGTAAGGAATGAAACAGGTGAGAAATTTTAGCAGTTGCACTCTTGTTTTTTAGGACATGTAGGAGTAGATTTGTATAAGAGAAATATATTGTTGTTACAAAAGTCAAATTTAAGTCAACAAACTTGCTTTCTCTATATTGTAGTCAAAATTAGTGGCTACAACAGATGATGAAGATGAGCATTGTAACTATACACTTCGCACGAGAAAGACAAATTCATCTACCTTTGATAAGGTAAGTTAGTCACTGTAATCATAACACATTTAAGAACAATATAACCAAATAAAAAAGGTTGAAAACTTCTTGCAGAAGAATTGTATCCATCCAGATAACTTCATATTCATGGAAATTATTATTATCAGACATATAACATTAGAAAATGAATGCGCTTATTTATCTGTATATCTTGAAATAATTCTCGCTTAAATTTATAAAAAAAAAATCTCTCTTACAAACGATGTGTTATTTGGTCCAAGACAAACAGAAAGAACCCACATGAGAAGCAGCATTCAACAGTTGAACACAAGATAAAAAAATACTATTTCAATTATTTAAAAAAAAAAATGTGGATAGTGTCCACATGTGGACACAGATGATGCCTCCGCTTGAATATCATATAGTTATAAAGGGACATAACTGAAGAACGGTAAAAAGACGCTACCCAAATTTGAACTTGATCTGAATTTTGTGGTAATAAGCATTGTGTGTAAGTCTCATAACATTTGGTTGAGGCTAACTTAAGTAGAGAACAGAAACTAAAAATTCAGCAATTTTTCTATTTGTAAACACGCATAACTCTAGAACGGTTGTGTATAAGTTTTATAATATTTGGTTGAGACAAACTAAAGTTAGAGAACAGAAATGAAAAATTCAGCAATTTTTGTCGAGCCTGCGACTTTTGTCGCAGAAAGCTCGACATAGGGATAGCGATCCGGCGGCGGCGGCTACGGCGGCGGCGGCGGCGGCGGCGGCGTTAGCTAACTTCTTAAAAGCTTTATATTTTAGAAGATGGAAGACCTGGATGCTTCATACTTTGTATATGGATGCCTCATGTTACGAAGTTTCCGTCAGTCACATGTCCAATGTCCTTGACCTCATTTTCATGGTTCAGTGACTACTTGAAAAAAAAGTTCAGATTTTTTGTAATGTTAAATTCTCTCTTATTATAAGTAATAGGATAACTATATTTGGTATGTGCGTACCTTGCAAGGTCCTCATGCCCGTCAGACAGTTTTCACTTGACCTCGACCTCATTTCATGGATCAGTGAACAAGGTTAAGTTTTGGTGGTCAAGTCCATATCTCAGATACTATGAGCAATAGGTCTAGTATATTCGGTGTATGGAAGGACTGTAAGGTGTACATGTCCAACTGGCAGGTGTCATCTGACCTTGACCTCATTTTCATGGTTCAGTGGTTATAGTTAAGTTTTTGTGTTTTGGTCTGTTTTTCTTATACTGTATGCAATAGGTCTACTATATTTGGTGTATGGAATGATTGTAAGGTGTACATGTCTAGCTGGCAGGTGTCATCTGACCTTGACCTCATTTTCATGGTTCAGTGGTCAAAGTTAAGTTTTTGAGTTTTGGTCTTTTTTTCTAATACTGCATGCAATAGGTCAGCTATATTTGGTGTATGGAATGATTGTAAGGTGTACATGTCTAGCTGGCAGGTGTCATCTTACCTTGACCTCATTTTCATGGTTCAGTGGTCAAAGTTAAGTTTTTGAGTTTTGGTCTTTTTTTCTAATACTATATGCAATAGTTCAACTATATTTGGTGTATGGAAATATTTTATGATCTATATGTCAGTCACGCAGGTTTTATTTGACCTTGACCTCATTTTCAAGGTTCATTGCTCAGTGTTAAGTTTTTGTGTTTTCGTCTGTTTTTCTTAAACTATAAGCAATAGGTCAACTATATTTGTTGTATGGAAGAATTGTTAGCTGAACATGCCTGCCTAGCATGGTTCATCTGACCTTGACCTCATTTTCATGGTTCATTGGTCAATGTTTAGTTTACTTGGTTAATGTTAAGTTTATGTGACAGTTGTAATAAAGCTTTATATTTAGGACTATCAACATAATATCAATGATTAGTAAAGAAGGCGAGACATTTCAGCGTGTGCACTCTTGTTTATGTTTATAAAGGGACATAACTCAAAAATGGTAAAAGTGTCGCCACCGAATTTCGTACTTAATCTGTATTATGTAGTAATAAGCATTGTGTATAAGTTTCAGGTTGAGGCAAACTAAAGTTAGAAAACGGAAACAAAAAATTTGTACTTGATCTTAGTTTTGTGGTAATGAATATTGTGTATAGGTTTCATAATGTTTGGTTGGGGCAAACTTAAGTTATAGAATGGAAACTAAAAATTTTGCAATCTTTTGATTTATAAAGGGGCATAACATAATAATGGTTAAAGTGACACTACCCAAATTCAACTTGATCTGTGTTTTATCTGTGGAAGTCATTGATTGTAGTTGATTCAACTATAATCATGGACAAAGGAAGATAACTCCAATTTTAAAAATTACTTGATATTTAGAAGAAAATAAAAATTTTGCAATGTTCCCATTTATAAAGGGGCATAACTCTAGAACAGTTAAAGTGACGCCACCAAAATTCAAACTTGATCTGTGTTTTGTGGTAATAAGTATTGTGTATAAGTTTCATAACATTTGGTTGAGGCAAACTTAAGTTAGAGAACGGAAACTAAAAATTTTGCATTTTTTCCATTTATAAAGGGGCATAACTCTAGAACGGTTAAAGTGACGCCACCAAAATTCAAACTTGATCTGTGTTTTGTGGTAATAAGTATTGTGTATAAGTTTCATAACATTTGTTAGAGGCAAACTTAAGTTAGAGAACGTATTTTGCAATTTTTCCATTTTTAAGGGGCATAACTCTAGAACGGTTAAAGTGACGCCACCAAAAATCAAACTTGATCTGTGTTTTGTGGTAATAAGCATTGTGTATAAGTTTCATTACATTTGGTTGAGGCAAACTTAAGTAAGAGAACGGAAACCAATTTTGGGACGTACGTACGTACGTACAGACGGACAAGGGTAAAACTTAATGCCCCCACCGCTACGGCGTGGGCATAAAAAGCTCTATAACAACATGAACAATATGACCTCTCATATAAAACAAAAAGTAAGACCAGATGCTCCTGACTAGTCAGCATTACTTGTTGCATGTATGGTACCTGTCATGTAGGGCAGCACCAAACACAACTTTTATTGCGAAACTATGGTTATCACAATACTATAATAAATACATGTACATGCAGCATAAGCTTTGACAAACATCTTACAACATTGTATAAAAAAGTACAAATGTAATATAATGAGAGTCACTTCATCTGTGTCCTGTTTGTATTTTAAAGTTTCTGTTTCTATTTTTATACACTGCCAAAAATTTTTGGAGTCATATAATGGTATCACGTTGTCATCTGCAATGTCAGAAGACACCTAGTTTCCGGACAATAACTTTAGTTTAAGTGAATGGATCTCTATGAAATTAACCACAAAAGGAAGGTTGGGATTGATTTCGGGGGTTATGTTCCCAACTGTGTAGGAATTTAGGGCCTAAAAAGGGGTCCAAATAAGCATTTTTATACGCCCGTTTATGGGCCATATTATGGTATACTGTTGTCCGTCTGTCCGTCCGTCCGTCGTCAACATGTCGGACATTTATTCAAAAACGCTTTAACCAATATGCATGAAGCTTTGATGAATTGTTTATATCTATTGACCTGAGCTCCCTTTTGTTTTTTATAAATTTCGGATTTACGTTTCAGAGTTTTGGGGTTTTATTCATTAAAAAAGGGGGGATTTTCCAGTTTTGGGACAATAACTCAAGAACAATTTCAACAATTTGCATGAAACTTTTGTGAATGTTTTATATCTATTGACGTGAGCTCCCTTTTGTTTTTTTATAAATTTCTGATTTACCGTTTCCGAGTTTTGGGGTTTTATTTAGGGATGTCAACGAGTACTCGAGTATCGCTAGTTAGTACCGAGTATCGAATACCAAAACGATACTCGACTAATCAGTTTCCTGTTAGAATGTTGTTGCTTTCTTAAGCTTAAACAAAAATATTTTAAATAAATTAAATATTAATCAATATTAAAATATGTCTCGAATGTGTGCGTTTAATTGTCATTTTAAATTCCTCCGAACAGAGGTAGGCTATGAACAAAAGCACCTTTCCAATGCTTACACTTTTAGCTAATCTTATAGTCATTCCCCCTCCCCCACCTCTGTACCGACAGAGCAAATATTTTCATCAGCAGGAATGTTAAATACGTAACAAAGTTGAGAAATAACCTTGTCCCAGAAAAAGCTGACAAGATAATATTTCTAAATAAGAACAAATTCGTTGCACCCTGTGTTGACCCTCAGAAAATGATTAAAGGCATCAATAAGTTCTAATCATTACCCCTTTGCTGACCATTAAATGTGTTTTTTTTACGATTCCCAAATACTGTTGTTTGAGTAATCATTTTTCTAAAGATGTGTTTTAACATGATTAATTAATTGATTAGATTATTGCCAATTTACTTAATTGGTACAAGTAGTAAATGAGCTATTAATTATGGTATAAAATTCCTGGAACAATTATCTAGTCCTAGGTAATAATGTTGAGGGTTTTAAGTTCTTAAGAAAACGACAAACAATACATAAAATAGGTATAATTTTGTGTTTCCATTTTGTAGATGTTTTTCCGAGCGAGTACTTCAGTATCGCTCGGTAAATCCAACGAGTACTCGACTAGTAATTCTTTATCGAGTTGACATCCCTAGTTTTATTCATTAAAACAGGGGGGATTTTCCAGTTTTCTGACAATAACTCAAAAACAATTTCACCAATTTGCAAGAAACTTTGACGAATTGTTTATTTCTATCGACATGAACTCCCTTTTGATTTTTATAAATTTTAGACTATACGTTTCCGATTTATGGGGCTTTATTCATTACAAAAATGGGGATTTTCCAGTTTTCGGACAATAACTCAAAAGTTATGAAACTTTGGTAAATTTTTTATATCTATTTTTGTAAGCTCCCTTTTGATATTTATAAATTTTTGAATTCAGGTTTCCGAGTTATAAGATTTTATTTGTTTATAGTCTGACAACAGATTTACTAAGCATTGCGCAACAGCACAGTGTTTTGCACAACAGCAAGAAATCTTTAATTGAATATAAATTCAATTCATATAACCATGATTACCAATTTCAAGTTCTTCGACTACATTTATTCAGAAACCTATAATATGTCAAATATCTAATTACAATCCAAATTCAGACCTGTATCATGCTTGAATATTATGTCCATTTTTGCCCCAACTGTTCAGGGTTGGACCTCTGCGGGGCGTATCCAGCTGCGCTCAGCGAAGCTGTTTATTCTAGTTTCCAGACAATAACTTGTGTGTAAATGTATGGATTTTTCTGAATTTGTACCATAAGGTTCCATACCAAAAAAGGAAGGTTGGGATCGATTTTGGGGGTTATGGCTTTTTCTGTTTAGGAATTAGGGGCCAAAAACAATATTTGTATAAATTGTTTATTTCTTGACCAATTTCAATGGGGTTTTATTCTTGAATTTTTGGGGTTCTTTAACAATGTTTAATATGCTGAATCTAACCGTGTATAACGTTTTTGGATTTTGGGCCCTGTTTTTAAATTGGTCCACATTGAGATCCAAAGGGTCCAAAACTAAAATTTGTTTGATTTCATTAAAAATTGAATTATTAGCGTTCTTTGATATACGAATCTATCCGTGTATTTAGATTTTTGATATTTGGTCCTGTTTTCAAACTGGGATACATTAAGGTCCAAAAGGTCCAAAATTAAACTTAGTTTGATTTTAACAAAAAATATTCTTGATTTCTTGGGGTTCTTTGATATGCTGAATCTATACATGTATTTAGATTTTTGATTATGGGCCCAGTTTTCAAGTTGGTCCAAATTTGGGTCCAAAATTAAACTTTTTGTGATATCAACAAAAATTGAATTATTGGGGTTCTTTGATATGCTGAATCTAACTGTGTTTGGATTTTGGGCCCTGTTGTCAAATTAGTCAACATTGAAGTTAAAAGGGTCCAAAATTACACTTTTTTTTTTATTAAAAGATAAACTTTGTTTGATTTCTGACATCAAAAATATAATTAATGTTAGTCTTTAATTTGATATGCTGAATTCTAACCATGTATATTAAGAAATTGTTGAACATCCTTACATATGATATTGTTTAGGTCTTTTTGAATGACAATTGTTACCTGCATGGTTTTCTATTTATAGAATTTATACACATATTCACAAGACAGTGAGGGGCAAGTTAGTACAGTGTGCAGCAGTCAAGATTCAAGTTGGAGCCAAGGGGACGAAGCATTGCCTCTTAAAGAAATCCAAATTGCTGATATCAACAAGGCTATTTATGTTCTAGGTCAAGGTTGTATCAGTCCACTCAGATCAAAGCTGAACACAAATATAGATGAAGCAAAAGACAGAACCATCCGATACTACAAAAGAAAGGCTGAGGAAACATCTGAAGCTCTATATAATGCTATTGCACCTAAACAAGGAACTAAACTAAGGAGAATTTCTGATCAGGTTCCAGTAACGAAAGGTGATGATGACCTTCTTCATGTTGTTTCCCAGATGTGCAAAAGTATAAAGGATGCAGATGTAAAGTGTCAACTTTTGTCTCTTGTTGTGAACCAGTTTTCAAAGACTGATTTGTTGACATGGATTCCTGAGATAACAAAATATCAAATAGATAAAGCCAGAAAACATGCATTTGTTAATGGTCCTGGCTCATGTATACAATCTTCAAAGACACAACAACATAGACAGAGAATAAACTATGCCATGTTACAGCATGCTGTAGAATTCTTCAGTGACCCATCTTTCAACCAAATATCATCTTACACTACCCATGACCTAAAATTAGACTCTGGAGATATTCTTGTTATCCCAGATGTTGTTAGAACAGTCATCCATTCAAACTTGATTAAACTGTATAAACTCTACTGTGCCGACAATGATTTCAATCCTCTAAGTGACTCAACACTGTATCAAGTTTTGAATGCATGTGAAGCATCCAAAAGGAAGTGCCTTAAGGGTTTAGACAACATTGCTGTAGATGGCACCACAGCATTTGACAACATTTTGTCCTTAATTTCCAAGCTGAACAAAACAGAGGACTGGAAGAGTACAGTTAAGAGCAGACTTTTAAATAGCCGACTGTACTTAAAAACAGATTACAAACTGCATATAAGAAGAGAAGATGAATGTGCCTTCCATTGCCTGCAGTATTCATTAAGTGATCCAAAAGTTGGTGCCCTTAGTGTTGGATGTGAACATTTGCATCAAAAGGCATGCGACAGATGTCTGCTGCTTGGAGATATTGTTGAAGAAGTTCGGTTGGCCATTTTATCCAGCTGTCCAGAGGATCAAGAAGCTTTCCTCCAAGACCTGGAAATATCAACAAGGCAGATTGAGGACTGGAGATCTCACATCTTGAGAACAATCAACCAAGATGATGCCAGGTTTGATCTTCTGAACAGCATACAAGGCAATGAAGTAATTATTATCATGGATTGGGCAATGAAATACCTTCCACAGATGTTTAGGGAAAGAATGAAAGATTTCTTTGGTCAAAAAGGGATGCACTGGCATGTGTGTGTTGCCATTTTTAAAGATGAAGACAACAGTTTAAAGGTAAGAGTAATATTATTTAAATGATAATCCTATTTACCATTATAATGAAACTAAATGTCATCAAACATGGCAGCCATTATTACTGAAAATTTGAAATATATATGCAACAAAAATCTTTAAAAACTCTGTAAACAAAAACATTACATTACAAAAATTATTATTGACCCAACAGCTAAAAGTGGCACATTGATTAGGAAAAACTACAAGTAATGCAAAAAATTAAAAATCTTTAAAAAAACAATTGTTACTGAATTTCATGGAAATAATTCACCAAGCTTGGCCACCACTATTCCTTAAAGGTGTAATACCACCATTGATTTTTCCCTATTAGTCTTTGTTAAATTTGCACTTTTCAAAAAATTGTGCATAATGTATCTTTGTTTCAAATAAAGAAATACTTGGCATGAATAAAGTTTTATCATGTCCAGTACTATAGAAAAAATTTCACATAACATTTCATTGCATATCAGAAAATAACCATCACTGGAAGTTAACCAATCAAATTTTCCCCCTTTTTAAACCTGTGTACAAGCTTTAGTAACCATGTAACCTCAAGTTTCCAAAATATTCTATAGAAACCCCAAATAAAAAAAATAATGGTGCTTTGAAATACCCAAGATATATGTTTAAGACCCAGAAATGTTTTACTGCAATGAAATGTAGGATCAATTACCTAGGACTGTCAAATTCAAGGGAATATTTTTTTCGACCTATTTTCGTATGCAACCGGATGTGACGTACTATGATTTGGTGGTATTACACCTAAACAAACATTTTTTTCCGAAATGATTGGACAGTAACATGATGGCTGCAAGGAACATAGTTAGGGAACCAACAAACCCTATGGGAACATTTTTTAAGTACACATGTATGCTTTCACCAATCTGAACCAAACTTGATAAGAATGATATTTGAAAATTCAATAAGTTTGTCAGGTACTTCATTATCAAGCATGGTTAGGTCTGCAATTTCCCTTGAGTACTCTGGATTCCTAAAATATTGGCATTGGTGACCAATAGATAAATAAATCCATTCCCCATTTCCATTCTCAATTTTATTTATATTAAGGTAGATAGGGTGTCTTCCTCCATCTTGGATTTTGTAATACCTGAAAACAATCGGTCTAGATCTTTAATAGAATGTGCAAATTTTGAGAGTAGTAGGTAATTCATGTGTAAGAATTTTCATTTCAATAGTTCATAGTAACAGAAGAATTGAATAATAGAAAACAAAAAATTACGGATTTTGGAAAAAGGAGGATGAAAGAAAAAAATTGTAATGTCAGCCTACAGAAGTTTTACATACTTTTAACCACGGTCTAAATGACAGCTATTTCGCAGGTGTGTTTTAGTTTTATTTATTTGTAGAAAGTCATATTAAACACCATCCATACTTTGACGGTATACAATAAGAACTGATTTTTATTTTAGCACAAGACCTTTACTCATATAATGGACCATGTGAAGCAGGACTTCTTCGCTGTTTTATCCCTGTTGGAGCACACACTATCTTCTATTAAGAAACAGTTACCACAAATCACAGAGGCATACCTTAGATCTGACAACGCTGGTTGTTACCATTGTGGTCAGCTGTGGCTAGCAATACCAAGTTTGTCAGAAAGAACAGGTAACATTATATTACTTTCACCGAAATACAAATATGGAGTTTTTTAGGATTTTGTTTTGGTACCATGCTCAACATAATAGGAGGGGGAGGGCATAGAAATAACAGTGAGTTATGTCCCTTGGAAATGTTAATGACATAAATTGCTTTGTAAGGGCTCCTACATATACCATAATTGCTAGGTTTTTATAAAACTTGTATCAAACATTGTCAAATGCTTATTCAAGAATGAGCAATTTCTGGGAAAAATTATTACACCAGGGTTTTTGATATCATAAACTAGTCAAAACATTTACTAAATTTTATCATCGGTATAAAGGACATCATTCGTAAATATAACTCAACATGCAGACATCTTATACGTTCGGGTATTTCACATCCAATCTTTTATGGTAATATTCTTTACAAAGCACAAAAATGTCAGTATTCACCTCAAAAGCTAACAAAACCTTTAAACAGACTTATTAAGAAGGGATATAGTTATGATACTGTTGTCAGGTCATTAAAGATTGTATATTTTGGCTTTAATATTGATTCACTTATACATGTTATAGGGTCTTTGCATCTGAATTAAACACATTTATTCTAAAACCAGTTGTTGGCATGACACGGGTTATGTTCTTCTCATATATTTTATGACAGTATAATACTAAACCCCTAACAGGAGGGATTGTGCCCGATATTCATATGATGAAGACGTAATCTTGTCATAATGTCAGTAACTGCTAGTAGTCTGTTGTTATTTATGTATTATTGTCATTTTGTTCATTTTCTTTTGTTTCCTATTCTGACATCGGACTCGGACTTCTCTTATACTGAGTTTTACTTTGCGTACTGTTGTGCGTTTGTTTTTTCTACATAAGCTAGAGGTATAGGGGGAGGGTTGAGATCTCAAAAAACATGTTTAACCCCGCCACATTTTTGCGCCTGTCCCAAGTCAGGAGCCTCTGGCCTTTGTTAGTCTTGTATCATTTTTAATTTTAGTTTCCTGTGTATAATGGAGTTTAGTATGACGTCCATTATCACTGAACTAGTATACATATTTGTTTAGGAGCCAGCTGAAGGACGCCTCCTGGTGTGGGAGTTTCTCGCTGCATTGAAGACCTATTGGTGGCCTTCAGCTGTTGTCTGCTCTATGGTCGGGTTGTTGTCTCCTTGACACATTCCCCATTTCCATTCTAAATTTTATACATGTATATCCTGCTCCACATTTGTAAATTTTAATCCATCTCCAACATAAAGATAAATTAAGGAACAAGTGAAATGTACTGTAGGATAATATACCTTTTGAAAGGAATTTTAAAATTGGTGTATTTGCTGGACCAATTCACTAACATTTAAAGATGAATGCGAGGAAAAAATAAATATTTTAACTTCAAGCCAGTTTGTGTTAGTATCACCAAGATCTTGTTCACACTCGTTACAAAAAGTAAGTTTGTCAGGGTCATCTATCTCCAAAAAAAAGAAATAAGGTCAAAAGACACTACCAGAAGCCCTCTCGACCAATCATATTATCTTATTCCTTAATATGCAAATCATATAAGAATTATTTCAATATATATGTTTACTCTCATCAATGTTTGTAGGTTGTATCTTTATAAATATGAAAAAAACAAAAGCATTATTTATTTTTTTAGGGATACAAATCAAACGTTATGATTATAGTGAGGCCCAGAGTGGCAAAAGCTACTGTGATGCTAAAATTGCCCATATGAGACAAAAAATGAGAATTTTCTCTGCAGAAGGCCATAACATCACTACAGCTATGCAGATGAAGGAAGCGATTGATAGTGGAGCTGGAGTTAAAGGAGTTTATACATCAGTTGTGGATGTTGATACAACAAAGCATCAGCTTAAAACACATTCTTGGAAAGGTGTAAGCTTTATCACGAATGTAGAGTACACAAGTTCTGGAATAAAAACATGGAAAGCATACAGAATAGGAGATGGTTGCTTTATCGACAACAACAAGGTAAAGCAAATGTTTCGCGGTGAACAACCAGCTACTTGTTTACAGATCATCAGTGATGACTTTCAAGATCATGAGTCATCAGGGCATATCAATCTAAAACAAGGAACATCAGCAGAAATTCATGAACAACATGTATCATCCAACCAAACTGCCTTTGCAAATGAACAAAGTTCCTCATCATCAAACCAATCAATAGTCATAGAACAACAAATTCCTGAATCATCAAATTGTACTACAGTCTTAGAAGAATTGGACACTTCATTACAAGACCATGAAGGCAATAATGTTGACAACGTATTTTATTGCCCAGAGTATGGCTGCACCAAGGCTTATCAGTCATTTGAAAAAATGCAAGATCATATTCTCATTGGAAAACACTCAAAACAACTATTAAATGACTCAACTTATGACAGAGCTAAAAAGATATGGGCTGAAAAATGTGAAAATCTTCAGGCTTCTACTCATGTCACTATTGAATCTGATCCTGGAACCTCTAGCAGCAACAATTTCAATATACCTGCAATGGGTTGGGCATTAAAGAAAGAGAAAAAGTATGTCAGATTTTCACAGAATGTGAAATCATATCTTACAGAATTATTTAAGATTGGAGAGGCTAGTGGCAAGAAAGAAAATCCAGCCGCTGTTGCTATGAACATGCGTAACATGTCAGAAAATGGAAGTCGAAAGTTTTCCCCCAATGAATGGTTACAACCTAGCCAAATTGCATCATTTTTTTCAAGACTTGCTATGAATGCAGGAAAGACAATAATGTGTATAGACAGCTGTGATTTAGATGCTGGTGACAGTGATTTATTGGCCGTGCTGAATGAATTAGAGAATCAAGAAATCCATGAAAACTTAAATTTATAGTCAATCACTCTGTTTGTCTGTTTGTAACTAAATCTTGAAGACATTTTATTTCACTGTGACAAAATTTCAATGTGAGGGATATCAATCCTTTGGCTTTCATTGCTCATACCTCAGTTGACTGAACATAAAGTTTTGTAAGAAAGTTTATTGAAAGGTCATCTATAAAATTCATGTTTTATGCCCCACCTGTGATAGACACATTGGTTTTCTCACTCTAACTTTATATAAGTGAATAGATCTCTATGAAATTGTACCATAAGGTTAAATACCACAAAGGAAGGTTGGGATTGATTTTGGGGGTTATGGTACCAACAGTTAAGGAATTAGGGGTCAAAAATAAGCATTTTTGTAACTTCCAGACATAACTTGTGTATTAGTATATGGATCTCTCTGACATTGTACTACAAGGTTCCATATCACAAAGGGAAAGCTGGGTTTGAGTTTGTGGGTAATTGCCCTAAACGTTTAGGAATTAGGGGCCAAAAAAAACAAGCATTTTTCTAGTTTCCAGACAATAACTTGTGTTCAAGTGTATGGATCTCTCTGAAATTGTACTGCAAGGTACCATACCACAAAGGGAAGGCTGGGATTGAGTTTGGGGTTGATGAATCATAAGGGGGTTCAAAAAATTTGGAGGGGGGATTTTTTTTTTCTTTTTTTATTCTTTAAAATTTTCCATTTTAAATTGGTTATTTCTGATTTATATATAAAAGCAAATAATGATGATATTGTTTGAATAGGTAAATTAGATTTTTTAAAGTTCTTAGACCACATTCATTCTGTGTCAGAAACCTATGCTGTGTCAAATATTTAGTCACAATCCAAATTCAGTGCTGTATCAAGCTTGAATGTTGTGTCCATACTTGGCACTTGCCCCAACTGTTCAGGGTTCGACCTTTGCAGTAGTATCAAGCTGTGCCCAGCGGAGCATTTTTTTTCCAATTTTACTTTTCCTCTAAAGCTTTAGATACATATATATATTGTAGCTTGATGCAAGGTGTAGTTAGATTAAATAAATTAGAAGGATGAAAACTACACACCCTCAATATATCATAACAATCTGACTATCTTTTGGATTATGGCATATGAAATGTGAATTTTTTAAAAAGTGATTTTTGAAATTTTTTGCCTCCAGTTTGAGCTATTTAGGCTGTGGGCCTCTAGTTTTTAATCTTTTAAATACTCGCACCCATGTAGACAACTGATTGTTTATGTTGCCATTAACTTATAATTCTAACCAAGTTCATGTTATTTTGCTGGTCTTCATTATATGAAGCATTGTATTGTAAAATAGCAAAAAAGGGTTCCGATGATCCCATTTTTTTCTGAAATTTTAGCAGTTAGGCAATTTGTTGAAGGTCATTATATTAAGGTCAAGGTCATCAAAAGTTGAAAACAATTAACAGAATTGATAACTGAAGTATTTGATTGACAAATGTTTTGATTCAGTTTACTTAAGTAAATATTTTTTTTAATTGTCAATTTCAAGGGTCAAAATGGTAATTTGTTGTGCCGTGAAATTTGAAGTTATTTTAATAAACTTTTTTCCGGCAAAAAATAAAAAAAACACGATTTTTTTTTTTCATCAAAATATTCAAAAACAGCATTGTTTTTAATATCAATAAATGAAATGTTCCTGTGAATGTGTTTTTTTTTTAAACCATTGTTCAAAAATGTCAAAAAACAGCCTTTTTGGACAATTTCGCTTTCTCTGATTATATGTTCAACAGAAAACATTAGTGTTAACATAGAAAGTAAGATAGGAGATGTTCATGTATAGAAATGCATTCTTAAATGTAACTTTTTAACATATACTTTAGTTGTTTTTGCCATTTCTTAACTGGATGTGATTATTTTGCATTAAAAATATAGTCAAATTAGTGAATTTTGATGTTTTCAATGACCTTTCAAGCAGTATTACCTTATCTTGCGTTACCATGGAAACGGTGAAAAATTAAAAAGATTTGAATAATGAAAATTAATAATATGGGTAAGGTGTTATAAAAAGAAAACTTAATATGCAATTTTGTGATATCAATGTACCATGCTCTGCCTGACTCTTAGCTGGAACAGTACTTAAATGTATGAAAAATCTAGAGAGAACTATTTCCCGCTCAATTTTCAATGGCTTATATCTCGAAAACAAGCACACGGACCCTTCATTTTTTTCTGCTTTTTTAGCTTCTTTATTCATATACTATCAATTTATAACAGTCTTTTAAAAAGCTTGTTATTTTGAAACAGAGTAGCGAACATCCTTAAGTAATTTTTTTCTATAAAGATGATAAATGATGGAACTGAATGCATCACTTCATGTACACTTGACTCACGATGCTTCATACACATCTTCTTCTTATGGTTATACCAGATAAAATGGAAAAACTTCTAAATACTGCTTAATCTTAAATAAACGATGAAAAATTCTATTTACTGGGTATATAAATCTACAAACTAACAAAAAAATACAAGGACAAACAAATGTTCATCTGCCATCAATCAATCAGTCATCTGTACCTATATTTCCATTTGTTTATGTTTTGACTTTTTAGTTACTTGTGTCATATTTTTTCAGGGACCACCTGGTAGAGATGGAGGACCTGGTCCTAAAGGAAATACAGGATTAAATGGAGGAAGAGTATGTTTATTATCAATCCTTCATTTAAAGAGATGATTTATCTGTCTATATACTTATCAATATTGTTCTACCAAAAGAATTTGTCTTTTTTTACTCAGATCTTGAAATCAATTTGTTATTCTGAATTTATTTGTTTTTAACTTGTCCTTTAAGTTTAAATTTGATATTTGCAGGCAGGGATGTATGCCAAATAGACATAATGTTTTGAATATTGCATGAGAGTTTTCTAGAAGTATGGGTCTATGATAACAGATTTTGATATAAGAAATGTAGAGGAACTTATTCCACCCTTGTTTTGTTTTCATTATTTAATTATAAAAGTAATTAAACTATCAAACTTATATTATATAATTATAAGACATATGATTTTGAATATTTTGAGATGGTAAATACCTAATTGAGTTCATTACATGAATATTATCAATTTCACGAAAAGTTAATTATTATTTATGTCCCTAATGAAAATTAAAGAAAAAATAACATCCACTCAGCCCTTATCATTTCAGTAGTGAATTTGATAGGGTTTTTATATGCCCGTTTACAGGATGTATTATGGTAAACCGTTGTCCTGCCGTCCGTCTGTCCGTCGTCAACATGTCGGATAATAACTCAAAAACGCTTTAACCAATTTGCATGAAACTTTGGTGAATTGTTTATATCTATTGACATGAGCTCCCTTTCATTTTTTATAAATTTTAGATTTTAAGTTTCCGAGTTATGGGGTTTTATTCATTAAAAAAAGGGGATTTTCCAGTTTTGGGACAATAACTGAAAAACACTTTCACCAATTTGCAAGAAACTTTGCTAAATTGTTTATATCTATTGACATGAGCTCCCTTTCGATTTTTATAAATTTGAGATTTTACGTTTCCAAGTTATGGGTTTTTTTTCATTAAAAAAAGGGGGATTTTCCAGTTTTCGGACAATAACTCAAAAAATGCTTTCAGCAGTTTTCATGAAAGTTTGGTGAATTGTTTATATCTATTAAAGTAAGCTCCCTTACGATTTTTATGAATTTTAGATTTTACGTTTCCAAGTTATGGGATTTTATTCATTAAAAAGGGGTGATTTTCCAGTTTTCAGACAATATCTTTAAAGTGCTTTGAGCAATTTTCATGAAACTTTGGTGACTGGTTTATATCTATTAAGATAACCTTCCTTTAGTTTTTCACAAATTTCTGTTATGACATTGAGAAGTTATTGAACCTAAATCTTTGAAAAAGCGATGGGTGCATCATGCACCCATAGCACAGCTGTTTATTTATGGATGAGATTAATAAAAAGGTCAACATTTGTAATTTTGAATAACCAGAATATGACAGCTAACAGTTCCTCATACAGAATATCATCAAAAACCTAGCATATGTTTTCATTTTTTCAGGGGTTTGATGGTGTTCCTGGTCAAAAGGGAGAAAAAGGAAGTGATGGCATAAGTGTAAGAGGTCCCCCTGGAGTAGCAGGAGAGATTGGAGATCCTGGTCCACCTGGTCCACCAGGAAACCAAAAAGGTAGTCTTTTTGAAGGGCCAAAGGGATCATATATTGGACCTAAAGGAGATCATGGAAGGAAGGGAGACGAGGTAATTTTATTTATATTCTGAAAATAGTTACTGAGAAAAGATTTCCTAGTATACTGAGCTTTTGTCTATCTATAAATTCCAAGAAAAAAAATACAAGAAGTATAAATACAAATGTGACCATTAAAAACAATATTTAAGTGTATTTTATACAAGCATTTATTATGACATCAAATAAGACCCACAAAAAAACAAGAAAGGAACCTTACTTAAAAAATCTTAATGCCTCAAATGTTAACGTGAGTAAATAAAAAGAAATTTATTCAAACTTAAAATACATTTGGTACATAATAACATGATAAGAACTGAAGTTTAAAATGTAAAATAGCTTAAATAAAGTCACCAGTTCTGGCCACTTTAGTTTAATTCGGATATAACCAAAGCTGTAAATTCACGACCATTGTCACTTTGCAGTGTATGGGCACACCAAAAATTGTGAAAACATCATTTAAATCAAAAGTCACCTCTGAAGCATATTTTGACGTTAAAAATCTAATTTTACAAACTTTTGATCTATTTCATCAATTTTCAACTTAAAATACTGGCTAAAAACAATTATGGGATTAAAAATGTTAACAAAGCATTTACATAATAAATTTCTGAAATATTTAAAAGAATTACGGTATGTTGTTTACTTTTAAACTGAATTTCTATGATAAATATATAATTTTAGGTTGTTTCAGATGAATTGAATTACATTTTCCATATCTGAGTTATGTTTTAATTGAATTTAAACAAATCAGTAATAAAGTAAAATATTACCCTGTGTTGTATGAACTACACAAATTAAACATATGTCTTTCTGATGTTTTAACCTTTGCCTCTATATGGAGTTCCTAATAAGCTGTGCTCCAAATATACTGAGCTCCTGTCTTGACTGAGACCAGTCTATATGGAGTTCCTGATAAATGAGTCCAAATATACTGAGCTCCCGTATTGACTAAGCCCCTGTCTATATGGAGTTCCAAATAAACTGTGCTCCAAATATATAGAGCTGTCTTGACTGAGCCCCTGTCTATATGGAGTTCCTTAAAAACTGCACTCAAAATATACTGAGCTCCTGTCTTGACTGAGCCCCTGTCTATATGGAGTTCCTTACAAACTGCACTCAAAATATACTGAGCTCCTGTCTTGACTGAGTCCCTGTCTATATGGAGTTCCTTATAAACTGTGCTCAAAATATACTGAGCTCCTGTCTATATGGAGTTCCTAATAAACTGTACTCAAAATATACTGAGCTCCTGCCTTGACTGAGCCCCTGTTTATATGGAGTTCCTTATAAACTGTGCTCCAAATATACTGAGATCCTATCTTTACTAAGCCCCTGTCTATATGGAGTTCCTTATAAACTGCTCAAAATATACTAAGCTCCTGTCTTGACTGAGCCCCTGTCTATATGGAGTTCCTTATAAACTGTGCTCAAAATATATAGAGCTCCTGTCTTTACTAAGCCCCTGTCTATATGGAGTTCCTAATAAACTGCACTCCAAATATACTGAGCTCTTGTCTTTACTAAGCCCCTGTCTATATGGAGTTCCTAATATACTAAGCCAATAATGACAGTGAAACAGTAAAAATTTTAATTTCTTAAGAAAAATTGAAATATAGACATAGTATATGATTTATCTGGTTGTTTTTGTAGGGAGAAAAAGGACGAACTGGACCAGATGGATTTAAAGGAGAATCTGGAAGAGATGTAAGGCACAAATGTTATTTATTTGTTTATTCATTTATTTTATTTATTTATCTGTCAATCAATTTATTATTTATCAATTTTATTTGTAGTAGTGGTATATATTATGAATAGTTAGTAAAATTGACAGTTTTCTCAGCGGGATATTTTTTAGATGAAGATATGGAGTCCATTTTTATACGCCTGTTTACGGGACGTATTATGGTATACCGTTGTCCATCGTCAACATGTCGGACATTAACTCAAAAACGCTTTTACCAATATGCATGAAACTTTGGTGAATTGTTTATATTTATTGACGTGAGCTCCCTTTCGTTTTTTTATAAATTTTGGATTTACCGTTTCCGAATTTTGGAGTTTTATTCATTAAAAAAGGGGGGATTTTCCAGTTTTCGGACAATAACTCAAAAATAATTTCACCAATTTGCAAGAAACTTTGGTGAATTGTTAAATTCTATCGACATGAGCTCCCTTTTGATTTTTATAAATTTTAGACTATAAGTTTCCGATTTATGGGGTTTTATTCATTACAAAAAGGGGGATTTTCCAGTTTTCGGACAATAACTCAAAAATGCTTTCAGCATTTTTTTTATGAAACTTTGGTAAATTGTTTATATCTATTGTTGTAAGCTCCCTTTTGAATTTTATAAATTTTAGATTTTACGTTTCCGAGTTATAAGATTTTATTCATAAAAAAAGGGGTGATTTTCAAGTTTTTTGACAATATCCTTAAAGTGCTTAGAGCAGTTTTCATTAAACTTTGATGACTGATTCATATCTATTAAGATAACCTCTCTTTAGTTTTTTTTTATAAATTTCTGATATAACATTGAGAAGTTATTGAACTTTATTTGTTTATAGTCTGACAACAGATTTACTAAGTATTGCGCAACAGCACAGTGTATTGCACAACAGCAAGAAATCTTTAATTGAATATAAATTCAATTCATATAACCAATTTCAAGTTCTTTGTCTA